TGTGATACTTCAGAACCCAACAGGAATAATATCAGGGGGTAGGTAAGAGAAACTGTTATTATCGACGAGACTACAGCTAATTGTGTGAGCTAAGCAATAATGGAGACAAACAGATAAGGGACAATACTTGTGTTATAAGAGTGGCACATCACATGCCCCCTTTTTTATTTTGCAAGGCTCTTAGTCGAGCCGAGCGTCGTAATTCAAATCCATTCAAGGGTTTGAGGACATCATCTGTGTTGTTTGAATCTTGTGCACTTACAACTTCTTGTTTTCCGTTATTTTGCACGCATATATCTGGCAATTGTTCATCGCTGCTTTTAACGGGATTATCACTAGCGGCTTTAGCAGATGGTTGCGATGTAGGTGTTAGGCGCTTAAGATTCTTAGTATGTTCTACACGGGCATACAATTGCCCATTTTTATCTTTAGCAGTTACTTCGTACATATTCAAGGCTATTCGTCGGATCACATGAACTTTCTCCCAATCAGGTTCATATTTCGATCCCTGAGTATGTTTTCTGCATAAAATCTCAGTACCTTTGGCCAATGTTTCAGGCAAATTCTCAGGATTTCTGCTTACTGAAAGTACGTCATTATATCCAGCTCTCAACTCGACTGGTTTTAATGGTTCTACTTCAGCCTTGAATCTGAATACCTTATCATGGGGACTCAAACCATCTCTTCGAGGTATTGTGTTATGTTGTCTGACTGCTGTCTTGATCATGCTAGCGAAATTATTATACGTTAGAGTTGATTCACTATTCGAACATCGTATATAAGCGTTTATGTCTCTATGCAGTCGTTCGACTTTCCCATTTGACCAACTCGCAAACACAGCAGACCGCTCATGTATTGCTTTAATCGATCTCAGGTATGTCGAAAATCTACTAGAGACGAACACTGACCCATTATCAGTATGCACCACTAACGGCACAGTGCAAAATACCTCAGTAAGATATTGGAACAATTCAACAATATCGTTACTGGTGGGACAATGTTTTGTAGGTTTCACCAATGCATATCCAGTTGCACTATCAATCACTGTCACCGCATACATTAATGATTCTCCATTCGAGGACCTATAAGGTCCCACTATATCAGCACTTACTTTGGCGAAGGGAACCTGTGTATTGCGTTTATGAATAGAAGAATGCCATTGCTGTCTGTCACCTGCAAATGTTTTGCCTTGTTGACACGCCTGACAATTATCTACTGCATGTTTACAGTGTTGTTTTAGCTTTTTCATGTCAACCCAGGGCCTCAACCTACTGTATAGTGCTGCTGCACCTTCATGGTCGTGTAATTCTGCTGTAAACTTATCGGCATCCTCTTCTGGCACTTTTACTTTCGCATCATTCGTCTGTTCTAATTGACTTATCCAATGCCTTTGGTCAAAGGGTTCATCTGGTGCAAGTGGATCTATAGCATTTGGTCTACCTACTGCTATTGCAACTACCTCCTGAGTACTCTTGGTGTCTGACGACGACCTCGAGTTTATTTCTTGTATATTCAACATGTATGATGGTATACGAGATAATTCATCCGCGTAGTTCGCTTCTGATGGTATCCATTCTACAGTAATGTCTAAATTGTTGAATTTTACTGTATCATCGTAGTACTGTAACCTGGACTCTACTGCTGTCCGGCTAATACCTTTCACTGGGACCCAATGAGATAACTGTCTTCGTGTTAGCCATGAGGCCACACTTTTGTTATCAGTTCTCAATATTATCTCTTTCCTCCTACCGACCATATCGTTGACTTTCAAATACATGGTTATCAATGCTAAGCCTTTCAAAACTGCGTCGAGTTCAGCTACATTAATATGGCGATGATCACCTTTGGGCCTTATCCATGAACCATCCTCTGCTCTTACATCACCTATATATAAGCAAGCTCCATATGCTACTTTACTAGCATCCACGTATAACGTCCATATCTTAGTCGGTTGTAATGACCATAATCCATAGACAGGATCTCCTTTTTTCTTTAGATCCATTTCTAGTTTATTACATATATGGACAACATTCGATGAGACTATATCAGTTGGTTCTTTCACATTCATCGATATTATACGTGTCAGCATTGCACATGCGCTTCGTAGCCATTTCGCAATGGGATAATGAGCAATCAACTCACCGACCCATGTACTTATTTGTCGTCTAGTGATTGATCCATCTTCATTTCGGCGCAGTATAGGCGTTTTTCCTTTCCTCCTCCATGATCCCTGTACGTCGTTATTCATTTGAATACCTAAAACTCTTGCTTGATTCAATATTTCTGGCTCTTTCAATGTGAACCCATTTTTTGCTAAACATTTCCTTATTAACGCGAAATATTTCTTTTCTACTATACCATCATCAATGTAGAATTCTACATATTCTTGCAATCCTTCCTCTTTAAGGCAATATTTCAATATTTCAGTGAGGCATTTTGGCGCTATATTCAAGCCAAACGGCATCGAAATCATCACCCAATACTCATTATCCATATAGGGCAGTCTTATACACAAATATGGTTGAAATTCTTCATCGATTTGGACTTGTAAATAAGCTTTCTTTATATCTATAAGGTATGTATCGACTCCATATTTACATCGCCACCTTCTCAACGTGGCTCCACAAGCTAGCGGATCGGATTGTTCATTAGGTGCACTTTTTATCAACATATTTAATGGTTTCAAATTTAACACTGGCCTTATTGGGGTTGTACTCTTATGTAATTGAATTTGCGGCATTAAGGTGAACGTAGCCTTAGCAAACTCGGGTTTGCAAGGTTTGATATATTGCTGTTTTATCCAAAGGGCAATTTCATTTTTGAACATATCCATTTGTTCGGGACTCAACTTATCTATTTGCGTGTGATAGAATGGTGTTCTTATCACTTTTTCTGTTGGCTCATTCTCGATCCATTTCCATTTGATTCGCCATCTATTGTTATGACGTAATGCAATGAAATCACTCTTTTCCAATATCACATCTTCAGTGTTTGTTGCCATACATACGTCTAACCCTAATATGCTCCTTTCGTTCACTACATAACGTAAATCTTTTAATTGATTACAATAATCCATTCCAAATAATATATCAATAGGTTTTCTATTCATTTCAATTATACCATCTTTTTTATTTACTATAAAACTCGATAACTCAACATCATTATTTATTTTTAACTTAGTTTTACCATATATCTGAACAGCACCTGACAACGACTGAATATACTCTGTTCGTCCTCCTTCCTCATTTATCTCACATCCTAACTTGTCGGACACTTTTCTTGATATTATCGTTCGTGAGCATCCTGTATCTAATACCGCTATTACTCGGCTGTTACCTACAATCACATATTTTGATGGATGACCGACATTACATTGATCTTCCCATCGGCAGCCTACCTTCATCCTTTTACTTGAATGCTCATCATCATCACCATCGTCATCACGACTTCTTTTTCCTTTGGCTCCCTTTCCTTTTCCTTTCATTCCTTTACTACTCCAGTATCCCTTGCCCCAAGATCCATATCCATACCATCCCTTGCCTTTTCCTTTCCCTTTGCCTTTACCTTTACCGAACCCTTTTCCTTTGCCTTTGCCGTTGTATTGCCAGTAGGCAACCGCTGCCACTTCTTCTTTATCATCAACCGACTCCTTGTCATCTTCTTCATCCAAACTATCTCCCACTAATGTGACAGCTTCCGATAGGGTTTGCTTTGGTAGCTTAGTAAATGTATTGTAATAACCTTCAACAATTTTGGATTGTGGTAGACTCTTCCAAAATACTTGAACACACACTTGATCCCTTGCTTCCGGTGGTAACCTCGGAAAGGCCAATTTTGTCAATCTATGAATCTCGGTTGAATGCCGAAACACATCTCTTTTGTACCTCATCTTACAGAGAGTACTAAAGGCGTGTTTAGGCGTCTCGCTATATTGCTTAATCATCTCAGCAATAATTCCATAATATGTTCGCTCTGGAGCTTCACTTGGATCATGAGTCAGTCTTCGATTGTAAACCTCCCACGGTTTATCACTGAGGCAAAGCCCCATGAACTCCAAAAGTTCGCGATACGGTAACCTCAATAGTCTCGCCCGACCTTCAAACTTTGAGCGCCATTCCTCAAATGTCTGTTTCTTGGGATCGTATGGGACAATAGCCTTAGTAATAGCTATTGCTCTACCCATCTCTGATGACTCTCCACCACCATAATTTTTCATTCTTATCACCTCATTTTGCAAAGCCAATAGCTGGGCCTGGACGTTCTCATCTGAATTAGCTCCAACTGAACGTTGTGGAATATCTTGCTCAACAGTCTGCTGTTGTTGTTGTTGT